TCAGCCTGGAAACAGGAACGGGCTGCAACAGAGCCTCAGAACCCTGACCTCCGACCAAACTCTGAAATCGGAGGGGCACAGGCTCGGAAAGCAGAGGACGGAGGGGCACAGGCTCGGAAAGCAGAGGATGGAGGGGCACAGGCTGGGTAGACAGAGAACTCACTCCACACTGAGCGCTGAGATGGCCACGCAGGCTGGGGTGCCCAAGACCCCGGGCCTGCCTCTGTCTCAAAGGCGGAGGGCCATAAAGGGGGTGGAAAGCAACGGGAAAGCCAGCATCAAGACCTCAGGGCTGGAAGAACAGGTTGCTATAACGTGGATCCTCAGACCAAAGACAAGCTCCTGGAAATGAGCTAACAGGGAAACAAAGAATTCAATAGGCTGGTTAGAAGGAGAAGAAATCTCCCTAAAGGACAAAAAGAAAGACATGGAAAGTTGAAGACGGAGGGCGGCCGAGAAGAGAAATTGTGCCTGAGTTTGCTCACTGCAGCATCATTTACAACAGTGAAGAGATGGAGCCACCGAGTGTCCCCAAGAGAAGAACAGAGGGACTCTGGCACTCACACATGACGGCAGGCTGCGCAACACTGAAGACTGAGAACAAGTTAGAGAAATACCACGTCAGGTGCAAGAGTCTGGAGGACATGACATTGAGGGAAATGAGTAAGTCACAAGAGGACAGATGTGACCCCGAGGGAACGTAAAAGATAAAAAGCGGGGAGCTGTGTGGACTGTGGGGAGCTGTGGTCTGCGGGGAGCTGTGTCCGATCCAGGGACAGTGCCCATCTGGTAGTCTGAATCCACCAGTGGCTCTGAGGGACGGAGCTGTGCAATCTCCTCCCGTGCAATCTTTCAGCCTCAGAAAACCTGCTCGAGAGTCAGCTATGACCTGATGACAATGCGTTTGAGGGTTCCCCTCATTTAAAAAAGATAAAGAAAAGTTAACACATGGAAAGAAACATTTGGTTAGGGGGTGGGAGAGGAAGAAGAGGGGAGGGAAATTAATAAATAGATAAGATACATATTAAAAGGGAAAGGCAGTAAACCTTAATCTACAAGTGGATATATAGGCCATCAGCCATAAAGAACAGAGAGCGGACCTGAGTGGGACCACACCTAGGTTTGGCAGGTTTGACCTTAACATCTGCTGTAAATACACTCTTTGTAGATAGCAGAGGACTGGGACAAAACAACATAAACTTCTTAATCACAATCAAATAACCGAAAGAATGAGTTGCCTTGGGGGTCACAGACTCAAGATCAGGTGGCATAACAGAGCCCATAAAACACTGCCCTATGTCCCACTGTGGGGGAGTAGTCATGGGGTTCTTAACACTTGCCATCTGACGCTGAAGAGGAAGAAAAGCAAAGATGTATCAGAACCACCAGTCCACAGGGCTAAGAGCTCATGTGACCTCCCACCTCCACAACTCAGAGGCCACCCTAGTCAGTGCCACCACTGAGCACTCGAAGAAAGAAAGCAGCAGCGGGTCTGATAGACTGGGGGGAAGCCTGATACCAAACTAGAACACATAAAAAGGCCAGGGCGGCTTCCTCAGAAAGCCGAGTGTGGAGATTCCAGATGGCCCAGCTATTCCACTACTTGGAATATACCGAGAATGAGAACTGAGGCACAAATGGAGATTTGTACAGCAATTGTTGACCACAGCATTATTTACCATCATAAGAACATGGAAACCGCCCAGATGCCCAACCACAATCGAATGGATTGTGAAATTACAGTACATTCACATGATGGAATATGACACAGCATGCAGGAGCAATGATTCTGTGACTCACTGCCTAACTTGGGAGGGACTGGAGAACACTATGCTAAGTGAACTACCTCAGTCCCATAAGGACAAACACTGTATAAGACCATTATTATAGAAATAAGAAGAGAACTAGTAAAACGTGTATGAGGATCTAAGGGGGGAGGGTGGGAGCAGAGAAGTGAGGATGGGTGGGGGCGGGGTATGGTAATCAAAGGGTCACACAGTTTGATGGGTAGAGGGAGGGGTGGGTAAAGGAAACACGAAAGCTCCTGTGGGAAAAACAATGTATCCAAACTTTGTAAGTAAATCAATATAAAACAAAAATTTTATTTAAAAAAAAAAGGCCTGGCCTGATAGCGACTAAGGGAACCGAAGCCCATGACCTTGTGCCATCCTTCAAACTACAACAAAACTCACTCTTGTGGGTCAACTTTTACCCAGACCATGTCAGGGCTATAAGGTGAGTCACCTACATTTGGAGGCATCCGCTCCTTGGACACTCAAGCACGTAAGGTCAAAGGGAGCATCTGCCTGGGTGTGTGCATAATGTCAGGACTATAAAGTGAGCTGTCTACACTGGGAGGCACTCACTTCTCCCGACCCTCAACCACATAAGGTCAAAGGCAGCATCTGGGGTGGGAGTGTAGCTGGGGTGGGGGTGGTGAAACCCTGGAAGGGGTGCAGCACAGATCAGTGGATCTCAGGGGGGCTGCGGTGAGAGCATAGCTACGCTGTGTAATTAATGTCGCAAACCCAACTGTGCCTGAGTGGCAAACCATTTTGCTTGTAAACTTGCACTCAAATCACAATAAACAAATAAGACAAAGCCAGAGAACTAGTCTGTCAATTTAAAAAAAGTCCAAAGAGCAAGCCAAAGAAGCATTACCCTCAGAGAAGCCAGGAGACATGAAGTAATACTCCCATCTACGAGACCTGAAGGGCATGTGCTGTCCCTCTGGGTGGACTTGAACCTCTGACTTCTGGTTATTAGTGGAGTGTGGTAACCGTATGCAATGATGTGCGTCTAAACCCCGGAACCAAGAGAAGATTCTGCAGACTTTCAGGGAGGAAGCACCAGGGAACACATCACCTTCTCCATCACAGCCCTGAAGCCAGAGGACGTGACTGGAGCAACGGCTTCTGAATTCTGGGGAGAGCTCTTCCAGGCTGGAATTCTATGCCCGGCCTTGGGATCCAGGTGTTAGGTGCAAAAATGAGACTTTCCAATGCGTGAGGTCTCAGCAGGGCATCTCTTGTGCATTCTACCCCCAGCACCCAGCCCTGCCCAGACCAGAGCAGACCTAAGATGCAGGATCAGGGAGTGGGAGTGGTGCCGGGGGAAGACCTGGCACTGGCAGCGTGGGAGGCCAGAGCGAGCAGTCCAGAGAAGGCAGGCAGAAGCCGTGGGAGATGACTGAAAGACTGGCTGACGTGAGCCTGGTGAGAGGGAACTCACCAGCGAGGTGAGGATTTGTAGGAGCGGGATTGTTAAATCCCCAAAGCCGGGGCTGTTGCGCTGATTCTGCCTCACGGTGACACTCTAAGTTTCTCAGTCTTTATGGAGTAGACTGCTTTCTCTTTCTTCTCTGGAGTGGGTGGTGGATTTGAACCACTGACATTTGGCTAGCAGCCTAACACACAATCTACTATACGTCATCAGGGCTTCTTTCACACTATTGTTGTGTACAACTGAGTTGGAATCGATCCAAAGCTGACCCTCCAGGTCTTCAGAGGCAGTAAACTGCACAGGAGGAGACTGCCCATTTTTCTCCCAAGGAATAGTTTGTTGGTGGATTCAAACCACATGCCTTTGAGTTGGCAGCACAACTCCTTACCACTAGGCTCCTCCCAGGGCTCCTTCCAGTATTATTGTTGTTGTTATGTGCCATCAAATCACCTGCGACTCATAGCAACCCTTTGTACCACAGCCCTAAACCTTCCTTTATCCTGTACCAATCTCACCGTCTCCAACACACCTACCCCCATTCCCAGTCACTGAATCAATCCATTTCATTGAGGGTTTTCCTCTCCCGCACTGTCCCTCCACCCTTCCAAGCATGACGTCTCCCTCCAAAGACTGATCCCTCCTTGCAACATGTCCAAAGTATGTCAGATGAAGCTTCCAGTATTATAAGCACATGGCAAAGGCCAAGAACAAATGTGAGCTCCAGAGAGATCAAAATGAGGAAATGGGGAAAACTCCCACACATTTGTGTTCCCCCAGGGCCTCCTGGTGATTCTGACACAGCGACCCCAGTGTTTACACAGTGGTAGTTACGTCAGGTGACCCTGCCCGTCTACACAAGGTGTGCACGGGGAGAATGGACAGATAGATGGTCCTGAGTGTTAGTGCTGGGCCCGTGTCCTCCACGGGGCAAGCACCCATGGACAGTCAATACGGGACGTGGGGCAGACAGGCGGGAGGAGGAAGGCAGACTCCCTGCTCGGGGAACACCGAGGAACACGAGCATCACTGTTCCTCGTGTGCGCACGTGAGGAACAGTGGGAAGGCGGCTCTTCTGTTACGAACATGTTTACCTCGATACACAACACAAGGTGCGATGCAGAGAGAGCTGCTCAGAGATGTGGGAACACCTCTGGGGACCCAGCAGAAGGGGATGGAAATGGTGGCTTCTCAGAGCAAGAAATGAGGGAGGGGACAGGACACCATGGCATCTAGAGCTGTGAGGGTCACCTGACAGGTCAGCCAGCCAGGCTGAGAATGGTAAAAAGACCCAACTGCAGATGACAGTCCCCGGTAAGAGCCATGATAGTAAGAGCCGAGGAGAAGGTTCACATGGCCACCTGGTTACCACGCGGGCAGGGCGGGAGACACAGCAGCAGGAACTAGACAGGAGTCACACCCTCAGATGGGCGAAGGGAGAGGTGAGATCCACCAAGCAGAGAGGGGGCAGAGGGGCAGGGGCAGGAGAGAGCGGTCTTCCTCTCTCCGTGTGGACTGCAGTCAGCAGGACAGATGTACATGAATGGCAGAATGGAGAACCAATTTGCTCTGCAAACTGTCATTTTAACCACAATTAAAAAGAAACAAACAAAAAAAAAATCAAAACAACAGTTGATCCAAAACAGAAATCCCTGTGCCCAAGGGAGAGGCGCCCAGGGCAGGCTCCTGCAGGCGCCCCGTCCTAGGCTCGGTGTCCAGCTGCGGGTGTGGAGACCCACCTCCGCCCTGTCCCCTCTGTCCGAGCTCTTCATCCTCCTCACCTTGGAGGCCTTCTTGGCCTTGAGGGTCCTCACGAGCTCCCCTTGCGCGGCTATGCTGTTGAACAGGTCCAGCGGGGACGTCGGTGGCTCGCCGTTGGCCACGTCCGTCATTTCTCAGGCCAAGGTTTACACGGGTGAGTGTGGAGACCAGACTGTGAGGAGAGAGAGCGATCAGCAAGCCATCACAGCTGTTTCTCCTCCTGTGTACACAATCTTTCGTTCCCCTAGAAGGTGGTGGGGTATGCTGTTATAGGGAAGTGCACGAAAAATAATAAAAACATAAACAGAGAGTCGAGGCCGTGGAGAAGGGGAAGGACAAGTGCCGATGGAGGACGGCAGGTGCTGGGGCTGAGGTCAGGGCTGCTCCTGCTGACGTGGCCCGGGCACCTGCCTGGCACAGCCCTGGTGGCCCCCAGATGAACTCAGCGGACAAAGACCCAGGCTCCCCAGAGCCTAGGATGTCAGCTGGGGAACTGCTACTTGCTCGTTATCTTCACTGCCTTGGGGACAAGTTCCTGGGGCTCTAATTCCACAATCTACACATAGTGGGGTGAACGGCCGCCTGTGCTAGCCAGCTGCTCTGTTCCCAGCCAGGTGAGGTCTGGAGCGACGGGCAGGGCCTTATCTGTCTGGGCTCCAAGTGAAGTAGCCAGTCCACACCAGATGCTGCCTGGCTCCCGGAACCTCCAAAGGTGTGCCTATTAGTCACCTCTGGCTACCCTCCATGGGGCGAGGTGGGAGTACCGACTATTTGCAAAAGGTGGAGGCACAGAGCAGGCCACGTGACTTGGCCCCACGGCAGATGCTGGACCCCATCAGCCTCTGGCTTCCAGCTGCCTAAAGCACGCCAGACAGAAGGGCTGCTGGGAGCCTCCCCTCCTCACTCTGCCATCGCCCTTGGTGAGCCATGAATGAGGCACCGTGGGGATCCTGCCACACAGGTCCCAGGCTGCTCCACATCCCCTCCCCACTGCAGGTTCAGCCTGCATGAAGCAGGCACCCCGTTCATGTCCATGTTATGTGTGACAGGTACAGAGAGGAAAGTACTGACCCCAATTCCCAGCTAGTATGTGGTAGTGGCAGCAACGGCAAGATTTGAATCCAGGCCCTACAGGGTAGACTGTCTCCACACGTTTCCGTCTCCCTCTTCCCTGCCCCTCTCAAGCAGACCTCAGCTCCGATGATGCTTCCTCCAGGGAGTCTTCCCCGAGCCTCTTTGAGACCTAGCCCCTGGCATTCTCTCCGCCACAGCACCCAGCACTCTGCTTGGTGGGCTCCTGCGATTCCAACAAGGCCAAAGCCTTGCATCCTGGGCCCACCACCAAAGTTTACTACTATGATTTTAAATGGACCTTTTCTTCTGAAACTTCACTGGGACTCTAAGCTGACTACTACAGACACGAACAGCTCACTGGTGAAAACAAGATTGTACCTACGGTCTTGAGCTGACACAAGACGTTCTACCTTCATAAGCAAGAGAGTACGGATTACATTTCAGAGAGATTTCTGCTCATCAACGTAGATTGTGCATCGGGCAGCCTGCTCCTCGCATGCTCAGCTCTTGGCAGTGACCACTTGGGGTCACTGAGCAGCAGAGAGCCAAGTTTACTGTGAAGGAGAACCAGGAACTCAGGCAGCGTGATCCTTGTGGGCTGGTGACCATGGGTCAATCACTTCCCCTTTTGGAAAATCTGCTTCCCATCAGCCACCTCTCCACCCGCCTCTCTCCACTGCTGAGAAGAAACCAACAGGGTAACATGAAATCATAAAGCAATAAAAAAATGCTTTGTAAGGTCCTTTTTGGGACAAACTGTCAAGTTGGAACTGACTCATAACTGACCGTCTCGTGGGTTTAGAAGGAAGTAAACTGCATGGGAGGAGACCGTCCGTCTTTCTCCTGCTCCTGAGGAAGGCGTAACTACTGGGCCACGACATTTGTTCTGCCAGGCTTAACCCCCAGGTGGATCCTGAGTGGGGATGAAGGCAGTGACACCGCCACCCGCCGCACCTGGTCTGAGCACCTTGCACACCTCGCTGCACGGATTCCCCTACAGCCGTCCTGTGTGACGGACATGCTGCCTTCCATGTCACAGATGCAGAACAAGGCACCGAACCAAACTCAAACCCACAGCGGTGGAGTTGATTCCCTCTCACGATGCCCTCCCCCACTCCCTGCACTGCTGACACGGAAAGCCTTCAGGGGAGTGGACTGCCTCATCTCCCCGCAGAGCGGCCGGTGGGTCTGAAGCCCGGACAGGGCAGGGAGCAGCCCAACCCCTAATGTTCTTTCCCACCACGGCTGCTTGCAGAGGTTAGAAGACAGGTGCAGGTTATGAAAATGGGAGAGAGGAGTCTGGTGGCCTAGTGGTAAGACGTTGCACTGCAATCCCAGAGCTGAGAGGTTCAAATCCACCAGGTACTCTACTGCAGAAGGAGGGACAATCTCTTTCTGTACCAATCAGGTCTGATTTGACCGTACACACACACAAAAATTAATAAATTTGGGGAAAAAAATGGGAGAGAGGGGATGAGCTCTGACCACTGGCTCCCAAGAGCCCACTGGGATCCTACAAGTGACTGCGCCACCTCTCACCTGGAAAAGGGAAATGACACGCACATTCATGCGCAGGAGTGAGCACAAAAATCCAATGAGTCTAACACAACAACTCTTTCATAGTAATAGTTGCAAGTAATATCTGGTGGCCTAGTGGTAAGAAGTTGTGCTGACAACCCAAAGGTAGGCAGTTCGAATCCACCAGCTCCTCTGTCGGAGAAAGATGGGCAATCTCATCCTGTGAGATGACGGCTTCTGAAAACCTATTGGAAGATCAGGTATGAGTCTGCGCTGATTTAATGGCACTCAACAACAACAATATCAGTTACACTAACACTTACTTAATCTAACTATTGTAACATTCCTAAGTAATATTTTGTTTAACTATTTTTATGAAACTGTTACTGATGTCATCTTGCTTGCATCCAAAAATAACACCCTTGGTACCAGTCAGTAGTCAGGAGATAAGGAGACAGATTACTTTGGGCAAGTCTGCTGTCAGGAACTTCTCCAAAATACTGAGGAGCAAGGATGTCAGTTTGAAGACTAAGGTGTGCCTGATTCAGGCCATGGTCTTTTCAATTACTTGCTATGCATCTGAGAGCTGGGCAATGAGTAAGGATGATAGAAGAACTGATGTCTTTGAATTATGGTGGTGGAGGAGAGTACTGGATATCCCACGGACTGCCAAAAGAACAAAGTTTGTCTTGGAAAGGGTGAAGCTGGACTGCTCGTTGAAGGAAAGGTTGGCAAAGCTTCGTCTCTCACACTCTGGACATGTTGCTTGGAGAGGGTATTCCACTGAAAAGGTTATCATGCTTGGAGGAGTAGAGAGTCAGCAAAAGAGAGGAAGACCCTCAATCAGGTGGACTGACACAGTGGCTGGAGCAAGGGGCTCAAGGGCGTCAGAGATTGTGAGGATGGAAGAGGAGAGGGTTCAGGTCTGCTATGAGCTGTACTTGACAGCATCTAACAACAACATGAGCCCATTCAAATGAAGTGTAATTTCTTTTTGCCTACTTGAATATGAGAAAAGCTTATATGAATGGTTGAAGAGAGAACTAACTTGCTCTGTAAATTTTCACTTAAAAAAAAAGAGGAAAGTGTGTAAGTTTTAAACAAATCTTCACATGGTTAATGAGGCTGTAATGTGGAAAATAGGAAAAGAAGACAATTGCCGCTTTCTCTTCCCTCCTTGCCTGGAATCACCTCGATTCCCAGAAAGAGAAGTCTGATCAGAGCAGATCTGCACACGCCCCACAGTTTGGGGAGGTCTGCAAGGGTGCAGGAATGAGGAAGCACCTTCTGAAGGTGGGGGCGTGAAGTACCAGGCCTCCCACAGCCGTCCTGCCCCAGCTGCTGACCAAGGCATGAGGGCTGGTCCATTTCTTTGAGTCTTGGCCCAGCCCAAATAACAAATTCAGAAACTTAAACTCACGGTGGTCAACTTAGAACTGACACAGAACCTACCTTCCAGCAGGTTTTCAGAGGCTGTAAATAAATCACCCAGGAGATTGCCCACCTCTCTCCCAAGGAGCAGCTGGTGGATTTGAACCACCACAGAAGTGTCCCATTTGGGTCAGCAGCACAACTCTCATGGTCCATGCCACCAGAGCTCCCTCTTGAATAACAGGCAGAGTGCCAACCAGAGCCACACAGGCCCTGTGCCCCTTGTCCAGCTGATCGCCCCACGGCACCCACCCATGTTGTCAGAGCACACTGTGTTAGGTGGCCGAAGTGACGACTCTGGAAGGGAGGGTCACCTCCCGAGGGTCTGCCACCAAAGCCTCTGGTCCGCTGAAAATGACTTCTCTCAAAATTCCAGCCCCCCTCTGCTCAGCATGTTGCTCACTCTTCTCTGCCTGGCAACAGCCTTTTCTGACCCTGGCACCCCTTGGCTGAAGCTGCACCCCTCTTTGGTGATCCCTGAGCATCTTCTAGTGTCCTTGTCAAAGATGACACTGTTTCAGCTGTTTAGGCCTTGGCAGTCAGACAACAAAAGCAAGTGCTTTATCCTTCCACATCTGTGAGTGTCTGTGCCCGGCTCCCCAGCGCTCACTGGTGGAAGCAAGCCCAGGGGCCACTGGGCCCAGCCTGGACTTAATGACTGTGTCCTCTTCTACGAGTCTGCAACTGCTCTTCGGATGCTCTCGTTTAGACTTTGGACAGTCTCTTTTAGAAAAGTCAGTCTTGGCGTGCAGTGAGCTGAGCTACCCAAGACTGGCAGACAGCCCTGCTGAGCTCATGTCCTTCCTGCCTCATCCCACTTACACCCTGAAGCCCCAACCTATTCCCCAACATCCCATTTTGTTTACTCACTGACACCATCTGCCACTGTCTGGGAATTCCCTTCGGCCCACCCATCCTTCCCAAAACACACAGCTTGGTACCGTTGACAACCAGCAGGGAGGCTCTGAAGCTGTGAGGATGAAAACTCACAAGGAAACTATCCTTGACAATGCTTAGAGAGTTCCAGGCGGAGGGACGGAGCCAACAGCTGTGTCTTGGTGTGGGGATCAGTTAGAAAAATGGGTTTGACAGTGAGGGTTAAAGCACGCA